AACTTAATTGCTGCATGGAAATATGCTTTGAAGGGACTCGCTGGGAGGGAAGGGATACCTGGGAATGCAGTCTGAGGAGGAAACATATCAGAGACCATATACTTGCTGTGGAAAGACCCAGTCCACATTGAGCTAAGGCATGATCCACTTTTCTCAATCAATTTGGCCTCAAGCAGTGTCAGTAGAAGAAAAAAAGGGAGGCCCTGAAGAAACAAAGTGCCAAATCGATGCTCCAGAAGTTAAATTTTTGAGAAAGAAAGAACTTTTTACTAAATTCAGCCGTCGTGACCGGACAGCAGTAGACACTCACCATGCGTCTGAGAAGAACATTTGCTACCGCTCTGGCATCTCCTGATGGCACAAATAGAAAGCTCAATTCTGTTTAAACGTACTTGGAGACACCTGGATTTCAACCTGTGACTTTCAGCATACAGACCAGATATTCAGTGACCAAGCTATATCCCCTTCATAGTCACGGTTAATACTATAATATCTGCAAATAATGTCTTCCATCACCTGCCTTTTTCAAGGGTACAAGAGTCAGGAGACACGGATAACACCTCTATTCCACACCTACAGAAGTGGAATATAGTTTTCTGCATTCCTTGTAAAATCCTTCCTGATTCAGTGCCATCTTCCTGAAAATTCAGACATGTACACTCATGATTGCCGTGTTGATCCTAATTACTCTAATTGCTACACTGTGGGGTTTGCAAACAATAGCAAACTCTTAACACCACCTAATTGCACCTGTTGCATTAATTGCACAGAGTCTTGGACTTTACGTTTCTTCCTGTTGAAACATGTTTTTCTGAATCCGTTTCCTTGTCTCTCTTCCCCAAATGTCAAGAATCAGTACTAAAATCGGTATCAGCCATTCAGAATTTTTAAATGGACAATTCAATGCCTGATGCAATCAATCAGTCTAGCAGGGATTAATGGATGGGGAGGAACCTTCTCTAACTCAATCCTACCAAGACCAAGTGGCTGTGGGTGTTTGGGCTACCCAGATCTGGGGATATTCCATCTCTGACCATGGATGGGGTAGTACTTCCCCTTTCAAGGGTATTTATTTATTTAATTTGTATGCCACCCACCTCCCCCAATGGGTGGCTCTGGGTGGCTCACAACAAAAGTAAAAGCCACAAACAGTGGCTTCCTGGACTTGTAGTTCCTGATTGAAGAGCATGTGTTAGCTGTAGCCAAGAAGGCCTTTGCACAACTCCATCTGTTGTGCCCTTTCCTAGATCAGGGGGCCCTTCAGACAATCACTCATGCCCACTCATGCATGGCTGGCCGGGGAATTCTGGGAGTTGGAGTCCACACATCTGAAAGTTGCCAAGGTTGAGAAACGGTATTTTAATGGATATTTAAGATTTGTTTTAAGGTACACCGGCCTGAGTCACATCCGTGTGATAGGCGGCTATACAAATTTGATAAATAAGTAAATAAAATATCCACATCTATTCGTACATGCACACCACACACTACAATACACACACAATACACACACAAATATTCACATTGCACACATTAAACAGGCATTCTTCCTTCCCTGCTCGGTTTAGGATTGCCCATTTTTCCATTGTTATATTGCTACCAAAACAGTCTAGTTACAAATCCTGGTCAGTAGGGTTACCATAGCAGAGCTCCAAAGCTCCAGAGCGCTATTGGATACCTTTCTTTGCCACATCAGGGTGCTGTCTGGATTTTATAACCCAGTTAAGGTTAGCCCTGCCTAAGAGTTTCTGAAAATGCTGGTCAAGACACAAAAACTGGAGTTATAAAGGATCTGCCAGTTGGCACACCTTGTAAATTTACAAAGCAACACCTGGTTGAAAAAAGCTACAGATTTTCCTGATTTTAAATTGAAAAAGTATCCATTAGATACAGATCAGCCAAGCTTAACGGGCACATCATATTTCTACCTGCCATCTGGAAGGTATCCCTTAACTGTTAGAACGCCCGTATAAGAAATGCCAGTGAAAATTACATTTTCCTCCCTGTCCACTTTCTCCACATAGAAATATCACTGAGTATTAAGCTAATGAAATTTGTACATCGGTTTTAATTACCATCAATTTGTTGTGGTGATTTGCCGATCTGGCTGTTTCTAAGCTTGCTGGAAATACTACAATTTTCAATCGGCATTCAGCTCACATTATCAGTTCACAGCCCTCGGCAATCAGCAATTTATGAGAGAAAGTGCTGCTTTTCATCTAAGTTATATAAAATGTGTGTGGCAGAGGAACAGTGAGGGGGAAAGAATTTATTATCACGGCACCAAAAGATGGAAGTTCAGAATCTCCCACAGGGACACAATATATACTCCTCAGGTTTCAAAGGAAGACTAACCTAGAATATGCTAAATCACAACGTGGCCAATTACTTTATGGTTTCATGTATGCTGTGCTAACCCAGGGAATTGGGTTTAGAAAACTATGATTTAAATAAGGATGATTTACTTAAGAATGCAATTTAAGCCACTCTACCCTAACCTTGTGCTCTCAAAAGAGTTGAAGTCTCAACATCTGGAAAACACCAAGGTTGCTCTAAGGAAAAAGTATCTATCTCTGATCATCCAACTTGGATTCAGAGGTGAATTGCAAGCTGCTGGTAATAATTCTAAAAATGAGCAGATATGATGGGACTGCCACAGAATTCCCATATCTGGTGGTGCCATGTTAAATGTACTCAAACATTCAACTTTAACAACTTCTATAAAACTTCTTCTAACTTTCCTAAAAGGCAGATCAATAATTCCTCTGTAATACATCCCTGTGGCTATTCCTCTGTGCATTAGGAATTGAAATCAACAGGACTCATTTCCAGGTTTCCACATCAAGTGGTGCAAGATTTGGACTATGATTTCCTCCTTTAGGGAAAATTGAGTCTACTCAGAGAATGAGTCCAGACTTCGAGGAACAAGCAACTCTGCCCTCTGACATTATCAATATTTTCCTCCAACAAGAAAACACTCTGTGTAAGACAAAAAGGGTTCATGTAAAGCATGGAGGTGTTTTTTTTCCCCAGAGAAAACGCGCATGGAGCCATGCTACTCATTGGTTTATAACACATTTTTGCCTGCCATGGATGTTGCACTGCATGACGTCATTTCTTCGATCGTCTTAATGTACTAAGGCCAGCCAATGGTGGCTTATGAATTAACCACAATTAAACACATGGTGGTTGAATTTGATTTGAAGTCAGTTGCCATGTCATTCCATTCATGGCTTCTCCCACCACCACCATGTGCTTCCTGTTCTGATCGGGGCATCTACAGCAGAGTGGTCAAAAAGAGTTATGATGGCCGTGCAACTAAGGCCTTGACCCTTTTTAATGTGTGTTCTGTGAAATCCCCACCCCAAAATTTGTTAAATTTGTATCTGATGAGTTGAATGCTGAAAAAATCAACTAGCAAGGGTGTTTGTGGGAAATTTGCTTTAGCCATGCTGGGAAGTGGTTTCCAACAGTAAGTGTAGGTTTTGAATGCACTTACACAAGCCCATCTTCCTGGGCACTTATATGAAGAATTTCATCGTAGGGCGTCTTTGTACCATTATCTACAGAAAACCAAGCAGCTAACAAAGAGACCCATCATACAGGTCTATGATGGTAACCCAACTGTTAAACTTCCCCCATCTTTATCCTCTAAAGCAGCGTTTCTCAACCTTGGCAACTTTAAGATGCGTGGACTTCCGTGAGGAAAGTAAGTTTTTAGAGGTTTCAGATGAATGGGAGTGCCTTAACAAAACTGAAACTTAAAAGAATGTGCAGCACCCTTGAAGCTGGTGGGAATTAGGCTGGTTGTAAAAAGTTCTTATCGCAAACATCCCCAGTAGTAACTAGGGCATCTGTCTTGAGAGAGGAGGTATCCTTCCTGGCCTTTGGTGCCTCAAGTTGATTTGTTTCTTCTGCTCAGTAAGGCTATTGTTTTCCTTGTCGATAGTAGATAAGAAGGGCGGAAAGTAACTTGAGAATCTATTCCTTACTTATGTATGTCTGCATCATATGACTATGTGCGTATGCATCACTTTTCCCTTCCCCTTTTCTGAAAGCCATGAATATCAGAGCATCTCTTTTGGCTGTAGGGGAGGGTCTCCCGCTAACCCTTGGTGGGGTCCCCTCCAGTGCGCACTAATAGACACTATAGTGAAGCCTTGATTATTTTGCACTTGAGTCCTGGTTTTGATTCCACACTTCAACTCCCAGAATTCCAAACATCTGACCGTTACTAAGCTGGACAAACACTGCTCTAAAAACTGACTCCCATTTAACTTCAGTCCAAACATGGCTTGGCAACCCTTCCCCCCCCCCCCCATGATATCTTCCACGCAGCTGCACCGGACGGCACGAAGCATTTTCCCCTTTAATCCAAGGACGCCCCCCCAGGACACCATTATTACCCTCCCCCAAGGAAATCTGGGTTTTGGCAACGATTAGGAACAGAAGCGTGGCCAGGATGAGCAATTCAGACAGCTAATTTTATAGACAGCTTTCTGCCAGATCACTTCAACTCAGCAAAGGCCCTAAGGGCTTTTTGGTCTTGTTATTTCCCCCAAGATTTCAGAGGCACTTTTAACGCCGCTTCCTGCTTCGCAACCGCATGGCTTCTGATTCTTTCTCTTGCTCCTCTTCGTTTCCTACTGATAGTACCGTCAGCCGATGGCTCTTCGTCCCCCCACGGTTGCAAACTGTGAGAAACTGATTTGCAGGGCGGGCTGCCCCTCCGCGCGTCCCCAAGGGATCGGCTGAACCAGCGAGGATCCAAGAGAGCGCAACTCTCCAGCAGAAAGAACAGCCCGCTGAAATCCACCGGATCGATTCCGGGCAAACACGTGCAAACCCGACCTCCGTCCGAGCGAAACGTAAGGAGCCCCCCTCGCAGCGGGGAAGAACACGTGCGGCGGCCAGGGTGCGCGGGCAAGGCGCCGTGCCAACAGTCTCGCTGCCGGGGAAAGGAACAAACAACCCTAACCCTTCACACGTGACACGCGAGGGCGGGGCTAGCCGAGCCCCACTGTTCCGGTTACTGGTTACCGACGGGGGCGGACTGCGCGCCCGGCTCCTGGGAACGCGGCGTGCCCCTCTCCTGCTGCAGAT